CCCAGAAGAAACGCAGGGCAGCAATGAGCCGGTGCAGGAAGCACACCATGTACTCTGGTGGGCACAACACAGTCAAGTTCTAGGGCAACAATGAGAGTTCAGCCATTAGGGCAGCTGTGAAGGTGCTTCTTAGTTGTGGTGGCCACGTGGGCCAGGCAGAAACTTCCTGTTCTCAGTCCTGCTGAAAGCGCATGCACCCGTTTGCAAAAAGCACCTCTGGTTTCCAGCACCGGGATGGAGCCCAGTGCTGATGGCACCTAGCTGCTTCCACCTCTGGAAAACCCCTGGCCCTACAGTAACAAGCTGGTGTGATGGGAGGATGGATACCACGTGCTCTGCCTCTGAAGGTGGGCTGCTCGTTAACGCAGAGAGGCTGGTGAGGAAAGGGCTTCCTGCAATAATAATAACATCCCCACCTTCCTTAGCTGCAGGCCATCAGCCTGAGCCAAGGCCAGAAGAGCGGTCCTCACCCAGGTGGTGAAGAGGATGCTCTATCTAGGTATCAATTGCTCATCTGCTGGAAGCAGCTCAGCCAAAAGGGCAAGAGCTCCCACCCCAAAGGTACCAGAGAGCTCTTCAGGTGAGGCCTGTGGGAAGGCTGTCCCTCTGACTTACCCCTCTATTGCTAGCATTTTCCTGAAGAAACTTGCGGAATTTGTTCAGGAAGATGTATCTGGATGCTTCCCCCTGGCAGGAGGAAAAGCAGGTGGTGAACTCACAGGGAAAGGAACTCCCAGAGAAAGGCATTAACTGTCCACCTTTGTCATGTTTGCTCAGGGATGCATCTGGGCTTCAGGCACGTAAGGTAGAGGGGCTCCGTATATTTTTCCATATTAATTAGGCAGATCTGCAGCATTACACTACATCAGTGGGTACCCAGAACATCTGCAACAAGGTCTGGGCCTGCAGCAATGCCTGAGTCCTCGTGGGGTCCAAAGCTGCCGAGAAACAGAGCTGTATATGCTTGGGAGCTACATTCAGCAGGAGAAAGCAGTTGACCCAGCTACCACCATTGCTGGAGCACCCATGAGCAGCCTGTGGGCCACTGCTCTGCAGTGTTGTGTCTTCTGAGGCCCATACTGGGATGCTCTGATGACGGCCAGAAGATGCACAGCTTTATGCAGCTGAACATCCTCCACCTGCTCTGTAGAGGCACACGCTCACACCCCTGCCATTCCTTTTCTCTCTGGAATTAGTATTAATTGTGAGGGTAGAATGCACTGCAGTCAGACTGTGTCTGCCTAGTTCAACAGAAACACAAGGCTGGCCCAGGTGCGGCTCATGTCATCACTCAACACTGGCAAAGCATCTGAGACTATCTATGATTCTGTGATTCCATGATACCCCTTTAAACAGAGCCCAAAAACTGTTTCTGCAGTTCAGCCTGCCTTACCAGATCAATTAGTGAACTGCTTCTGAGGACAGAACGTCTCCACAGCTGCACTTCTGTACCTTACAAGTCCTGGGATGCAGAGATAATGTAGCAAAAAATCCAGAATGCTTACCCCTCCTCTGTCCTTGTTGTTCAGCAGCAGCTTCAGAATTTGAACCTGGAGGCCTTCCACCACTAAAACAGGGACACAGCAGTTTGCTACTGGACAGTAACAACTGGAAAGCAACTGCCCGTGCTAACTCCACCAGTGCCCTGTCATCAGGAGAAAGACCACCACCCCAGCACAAAGAACCAGGTCCAGCAGAATGCTAGCCCCATCACTGGGATAATTTTCTCCTTCTCCACCCAGCAATAAATCCATCCCCAGCTGATAAACAATGCCCCTAAAGGTGGGTTTTGCTTTGCTCACAATGCCTGGCACAGTGCTGCATATGTGGGCAGTGAGGACCCAACACTTGAACCCATCCACCAGGTGACAGTGGCCATGGCTGGCCCCTGCCTCTGCAGTGCAGCCTTTGTGATGGGAATACAGCTGCATGTCAGGTCTGGAAGGCGATTTGGAAACAGCTCATGGGTTGATCTCTCTGGCTGCACACAAAGAATGGGATCTTGGCAATCTCTCTCCTTCCTCACAGACCTTCAATGCGCTTCTTGAGCCTCTGGCAGCCTCTTTCATACGCTCGCCGCCTCAGTCTTTCCTCAGCACTCTCCTCCTTCACCTCCTTACTCTCCTTGCCCTGGTTGAGGAACAGACAGAGATTAGGAGGAGTACATAGCATGGGGCAGCATCCTGCCAAAGCAGAAGAAACTCACTGAAACTTCTTCTAAGAACACACAAGCCTATCTGCAACTTCTTTGACTCTGTGAGGTCCCCTTCCAAGTCTGATGCCATGGAAAACTGTCACCTCCCCAGCCCTGAAACACACACTCTAACAGGAGACGACAGGGCAGCAGAGGGGCACAGCTTCCACACAGCTCTGCTGAGTTTCCCCTTGTTAAAGGGCCCACAGACTACCGAGATCCTTTGGTCTCCTTAGCAGATGTGCCCCGACTCACCTCCTTGGTGAAGCGGTTTGGCCACCACGTGGTGGGAATGAGCTCCTGCAAACCAGCCTCCTCCACACGCAGCGGGCTCTTAATGTAGAAGAACACAACTGAACGGAGCACATCAAAGCTGCAGCAAAGTTAAAGGAAGCACAAGAAGCTGTGGCAGAGAAGGGATGGGGTTTGTTTTCAGAGCTGTAGTAAGAGACCCCTCTCCAAAACCACTCAAAGCTCTGCCAAATCCAGAGCCTCCTTCTCCTGGGAGAAGCCTCTTGCACTCAGCACAGGAGCAGCCCAAATGCTGGCACGGCAGTTAGTCAGCTCTGAAAGGAGTTAGAGCAGTGGTCTGCCCTAATGCCTAAGGACATCAGAGAAGTGGGTCAGGTACAAATAAAGATGTGACCCTCATGGCACTGCAAACTGAGGAGACTTGAGAAATGAGAAACGACCTCTCAAAGATGGGGTGGCTTCTGCCTCCTGGGCTCTGCTAATCCTTGCAGTCTCCTTGGCTGCATTATTGAGGGCAGGGAGAACAGAGGACTGAGGAGGCACAAAGGATACAGAACATTGCTGAGGAGATATTTCCTGGATTTCTCATGCTTCAAGACTGCAATGGTGAGCCGGAGGTAGTGAATCTAGGAAACGAGAAGCAAAACTGACTCATCTACAGAGGTACAGTGGGACAGAACTGCCACTGCTAGACCAAATAACTGCAGATAATCCAAAACATTAGGGGCCTTTGGACAAGGGAACATAACAGAAGCTGGCTAGTCACAGATTCCTGGAGACTCAGAAGTGCAACTCACTTGTAATCCTAGGTCTGGGATGATAGGAGAGAACCTGTAGGCCCGCAGCAGGGACATCAGTAGCTGCTTGAGGCACTCGTGCACTTCATATTCCTAGAAAACAAGAAACAACAGCAATGGGATGATGTCAGGAACAGCTATTGTTCCCACAGTGCAGCTTTGGAAGGATGCAGCATTTACTTCTGTATTGAAAACACAGGCACTCTGAACCCACAGCATTTGCTCACCTTACTCAACAGGGGAGTGTGAGCAGTGGTTGCTGCTACTACTTTACTACAGGGGAATAAGCTTCTGTGCAAGTAAAACCAACCCAGTGGACAAGCCAAAGTCCCAGGTCCTATTTGGCTGAGCTGAGTCACCCCTCCCCACAGCCCCCAAACCTCAGCCCTGGCAGAATCAATCCAGAAGGGAAAGACAAGCTACTCTTGTTAAATGTGATGGTGGAGGAACTGCCTTGTTGAGTCCAACTGACAGCCAACCAGTGGGACAAATGCTGTCTCTTCTACAATCTTGGCACCCCCACCAGCAAGCAGATTTGGCTTCACTTGGTCAGCAAGATAATCTCAGGAAGAAGAGTGTCTACCGCAAAACGGGATCTCGTCACCAGGAAGGCAGAGAAGTTGATCACTACCAGCATGTTCCAGTGCGTGCTCCTATTCTAAGCACCTCACAGCACTCTAACAACTCACCTCCATGAGAAGCCACATGAGATCCAGCAGCTGCTGAATAAGGGGATGGGCCTCCACTGCCCCTCCTCGCTCCAGGATGCTCAACAGGAAGGTCATGAGCACATCTTCCACCAGGTACACCTTGCACTGCAGGAAGACAGGCAAGTTGACAGCCTTCCAAGGCAGAATCACTTCCCAGCAAAGACTGAAGCTTGATCTACATCCCTTTGCATGAAACCAGATACCTACAGAAGCTTGCAATGAGCAGGCAAAACTCACCATAAGAGGGGAGAAATAATTGAAGATGTGGGCCAATGTAATCAGCACTGTGGGTTCTCCCTGCAGCTGCCACATGGATGCATCCTTCTCCACCAGCTTCCCTTCCTGCAATGACAAACCCAGAAAAACACAGCTTGGTGCCTGCCCAGTCCACCTCTGCACTGAGTGTACCAGGGGCCTGGAGCAGCCACTGCTTGCTAGAATTGGGCTAAAAACCTTGAATGTGGCAATTTAGGAGGCAGAGCAGCAGCCACGACCATGCCTCCATAGAGCTGTAGTGCTGTCCACGTGTCACTATCAGTCACATGCGTGCACCTTGACAATCTGTTTTTCCAAATGAAAACTCGTTTTCTGAGTGCACGTCATTACTTGCAAATGGGAATCTCTGCAGAGGAGGTCAACAAGTGAACGGGGCTTCCAAGTAAACTGAGACTATAGCAGAGAGCATTCCCCGTGCTTTGGGCATGAACAGAACATCTCTCACCCTCGAGGAAAAAAAGACTGGTTTGTACTGAACGTGGGTACAACCAAAACAGTTCTCATGGCAGAGAGCGTGACCCCATCACTGCACCAGGACATCAGGAGAATGTCCAAACCAATCTCTTTCCAGGCTGCAAAATCAAGTGCAGTAATTCTGAACCCAACAAACATCATCTCTTGGAAGGAAACTTTGTGGGACTGAGGGCAACAAGGCCCAGTACGATCTAACTGAAGCCTTAGGGTGGAACTATTAGGAATCCCATTTTGCAAATCAAAGACCAGAGATGTTATGCCACCATGTAAAAGCACATAGCTGTCAGGAAAAATCTGAGCACGTTCACAGTGCAGAACCACATCTCCTGGCATGATGTCCCAGAGCCACCCAGCAACATCACCTACCGTCACATCGATCCCGATATGGATCACATTCTTCAGGAAGCCCAGCAGCCTGCGAGCCTTCACGAGGTCTGCAACAGGAGGGTCTTGCAAGGGGCGGTAGCCTTCCACTGGATAAGTGGGCAAGTGTTAAGGTAAAATGCAATCAGATTCGTTCAGGACTTCTTTATCTGAGCAAAGTGTCTGTTTTATGGTATGCACGCCTACGTCAGAGTTCAAGGCAAAGTGCACTTCTGAGTGCATGACAAGCCACGAGATCTTCCCCTCGACACTGCGGGTACCAAATACTTCCCTCACTGCTTCTGATCAGAAAGGAGCCTCCATGACAGCTATCAAGGGGCACATTCAGGACTGCTGCAGGTCTCAGCTTTCACACAGAAAGGCAGCATCCAACGCTTTTGCTATGCTAGCGGTCCTGCATGGCTGAGAGATTGAACAGACCCAAAGCCAAGAGGTTCAGAAGCACAGAAGGGTTTCCAGCTCTGGAAAGTGACATTTTCTAGGATCTGAATGCCTGGAAACCAGCAGCTCCTGGCTTGAAGCATTAGCTGTTGATTCAGAGCTTAAAGTAAACTCAATTTCAGCAACTGCTAGTGCCAGCAAAGGTGACTGTGGGCCCTGCAGCTGTGGTCCAGCTGAGGGATGTCTGCTTCTTCTCTCCTTGATCCTGCTCTGAGCAGAAGTGCTAAGAGAAGAAAGTGAACTGCACTCAGACACAGATACTCCACAGCCTCCATAGATGGTCTCAGGGCAGGCTCTTCTCCCTTCAGATCTCCTCTCCCCACAACCAAAGGATATCGAAGTGGACGGCTTCCAAAGTTAAAAGCAACAGACTCTTTGAACGAGAGACTGATGGCAGGGAAGTAAGCCATTCCAGCACCTCTCGTGATGTTGTCAAAAGCAGTTCCTAGAGAGATGCCGTTTCTGAAAGAAGAAAAGCCCACAAGACTTTAGCCACAGTCAAAGGGTTTTGTGGTCCAGCAGGCAATTCATGTGTCTGCACTCCCCTCTCAGCGACCTGGCAACACAGACATCACAGTCATTCCTACTTCTAAACACCTGTAACCTGGCAGATGTGCAAACACCACAGTGCTGCTCTGCAACTACCCTGGGAATCACAGCCGAATTATCATCTGCATAGAATGGCATGGAAAGGCATTGGACTCAGCACAGTATGAAGAGCCCTGCTCAGCTCCAAGGGCAACCCAAATCCTTACAAGGTATGTGATTACCAGGACATTTTAAAGGCAGGTGGCACTTATGGCCTCATCCACTTGACACTGATAGAAATAGAAGGAAATAGAAGGAAAGAAATAGAAGGTCTTAGTCCACTCTTCTCTGAAAGACGATGGCAGCATGTGACAGTTTTTCATTCCAGCTGACTTGTCTCAGGCTGTAGTTTCAGGCCTAGGAACAATTTGTACTCAGGCTGGCCATTGCTCATTGTCCAGTGGAGATGGAGGCTGGAGATTTATCACATTTATCACACTTCCCACCAACTCTAGCACAGGCAATGTCTACACTTGCCATGAGAGCAACCAGTGGGGCTCAGCCAACTGTAGTATTAAGCATCCCAACACGTGCCTTCTCCTTCAAAATCCCAGCAAACTTTACAGCTATTTAGGAGCTTGAGCACTCTTCTAACAACTGCTCTCACCCAAATTTAGGAGACTCCAAAGCTCACTTAGATGGCTTCTCAAAACAAAGAAGAAAAGTAGAAGCTGGAGCTAACAGGGAACATAAAGGGGAGGAGGAAGAAAGAGGGATCAGCAACCTGCTGAGCAACGAGGAAACATGTAGATTATATGCAGCCATTCACAGAACAGGGAACTGGGCAAAGATGCTTACAGGCAGAAAGCAATAGTGCCTTCCTCAAGGTCTATCAGACAGCTGACGATGTCTCCTGCAGCCCAAGACTGCATTAAAAGCAGAAAAAAATATGTTAGACACATACCCAGCAAGTTCCCACATAAGAAGAAGGACTGTAAGGCCAATCAGTCCCTTATGATTCAGGGAAGAAGGAGTGGCAGCTCCTTCTGCCAGCAGCTCACACTGCATTTTCAGACACTTCTGGAAGCCTCTGGATGGGATTTTCTTTCTTCCTTTGAGCATTAGGAACACACATAGGATCAGAATAATGCTTATCCCAACACTGCATCATCCTCTGATGCGTTACAAAGAACCAGAGCCTTTCAGACATCACCAGCAGCACCGTGCTGGGAATCAATCTGCCGGGCTGCCAAACAAAGCACCCACACAGGGTGCCCAGCACCCCTCAAGTACAAATCAGTGCTGGCACACAGCCTCCCCAGGAGCAGACTGAAGCTGGAAGCACAAATCAAATGTTTTCCACAGGGCCCAGCAGAATCCAGTCAGCAGGAGACACCTGCTTTCTTTTCCCTTCCCGGAAGGACAGTACTCACTTTGCCATAGTTGGTAGTGGTCACGTTCCACTTGCGCACCCTATTGCCATCATATGCGTAGGAATCTGGAGTATCTCCAACTCCTTCCTGCATCACAGGATCAAAGAGGAGACTCAGAAGTGGACAAGCACAAAGGATCCCTCTCATTGCACGAGCAGCTTCAACGGGGAGACCGGCAGACAGGGAGCACAGCTGACAGCAGACACGGTCTGCCCATAGCCTGCGATCTTTGTCTCCGTTCCCTACTAACATTTGGGTTAGAAAAAGAGCACTGCTACATTACACCTCCAAATCACTGTCAAAGCAGCCCCCCAGGATGTTTGTCACCCTCCCTCTCAAGTGCTGCAGAGTGACAAGATAGTGAGACCCTGCAGATGGCAAACCTTCCCAGCACCAAACATCCCACCCAGTGCCTGACAAGAGCTGGCCTGGGCCTGCCTCCCCCAGGCAAAGAGGAGGAACACCGAGCAGCCAAGTTACACTACCTCCTGATTAAATCTGCAGTTGAGAGTACACCAGCCAATCTGCATGAGTCCCTGGGAGGAGATAAGCACCTCATAAATCCATTTCCCTGAAAAAAAAACAGAGAGACCACACAGTAAATCCGTGCCACTTGACTCACTGTTAGAGGAGTAGAATGTGATGCAGTTCCCATAGAAAATAACCTGGTGCACAAAGTGTATTTGCAACATCCCCAGGACTCCCCTCCCAGCTCTTCACTTGGGCACCACACAATTCTCCACCCTCCTGACTTCCTGAAAAACCAGTGGGTGAATTTGGGAAGACAGAGCTTTGGAACTGCAACATATGCAAGATTTCCTGTGCTCTCCATGCGTTCTTCTGGGATCTTAACCAAACCATCACCCACTTATCTTCTTACCTTTGTACACGCACGTTGTGGCCCTGATAGAGCCAAAGTTACTGTGGCCAATCACCTGGACCAATAAACAGAAGATTTTACAAAGTTAGGCAGTAAGGCCTCAAGCCCAAAGTGTAGTGAAGAATATCAGCTGGCGAACCAGCAGGAAACTGACAGAGACAAAGGAGAAAGGAAAAAGTACAGCAGCACAGCCTGGCCTCAGCTTGTTCTCACTGTTAAACAACATAACAAGAAAGGAAGGAAGAGGCAGCCACTGGAGGGAGGGACAGAAAAGTTTTTGCCATCCCCTCCTCTTGCTTAGCCAAGCTCTTCTGTGAGCCATTGGGCCAGCGTAACACTTCCCCACCCTTGCAGCTCCACTCAGAGCTTGCTAAGACTTGGGGGTACTGCTAGACCTTTTCCCAGGAGAGATCATTTCCTCCAGGACTCCTCAGCTTTTTGAGTACATTCCATTTAACAACACACTACAAAGGCAGTGAAAGGGACCTGCCATGACAAACAAACCGAGAGCTTTTAGTCTCACAAGCCCATTTCCTGCAGCAGCCAGCATCACACTCACCCCAAGTAAGTCATCATCAACCAGCAGGAGCCCCTCAAAGCCACTCGTGTGGTCCAGCACCACAGTAGAGGGACCGAGCCGGCCCTCTGTCAACTGATCTGAAACAGAGAGTTGCAGATAACTTGTTAGAAAAAGATGTGCAGGATTTAAAGGTAGCTCTGAAGAGTTGCCAGATAGACTGCAATGGTACCTGAATTCTGCACTCAGTGTTACACACATCAGACCGTGAGAACTTCAGGAAAGAACTTCAGGACACCCATGAGATCTAAAAGGAAGCTTGCACAGCAACAGCCTAGGCCTGAGCTAAGCAGCAGTCAGGTCATAAATGATAAAGGCTTCATTTATGAAGCCTTCATGTCATCTGAAAGTTTTATCTCTGCAAAGTTCAAAGGTCAAACTCTGACCCAAACGTTTGGCCAGCGTATCACATAACTGAGGGCAAGCTCTGACTGCGGTCTGCAAGAAAAATGCTTTGTAGGAGAAGAGCCAGGATGCATCCTGCCACTTCCTACCTCGTTCAGGGAAACAGATGCTAGCAAGAACAGAGGCAACAGGCTGAGG